TTTTCTGTTATTCCCAGCCTGAATAGGGACAAGCCCAGAATCCACTGAAGTTTCCGAAGAGGTTCTCCCTGATGACTAGGCTTTGGATCAGGCCAGGGATAGAAGTGCAGATAATTTTGTAAACAGAGGCCCTGCAAGTTGTTAATTTTTCAAATTGAGGTTAGGGTAGCATCTGGAGTTTTGGGTCAGGAATCATTACCCTTGAGGCAGGTGTATACCCATATGTCTGCCCCAGTGAGCTTCTGAGGGCTTCCCAGACCTGTGGTAAGTAAAAACCAGGCAGAGCAGGGGCTCAGTGATATCTGCTCATCAAGGCATGTGAGTTTTATACTTAAGATTCCTGTTAAAATCTGTATGTTCTGATGAATGCTGAAAATAATGGGGCATATACAGGTGGGGGTGTGCACCCAAGGGTAGATCTCTTTGTGCTCCTTCACAGTGTGTCTTGCCTCTCACTGTTCAGCCTAGTCAATAAACAAGGCCGAGAGCTTGCAAACCAGACATAAGATGATTTGAATTTCTCAGGTTCATTCACACTTACTGATCAGAACATGCTGCCTCAACCAGCAGGTCAGATCAGCACCATCTGGTGCGGTGTGTTATTCAGAAGAAGATACAGACTCCTGGGAGGGCTCTGGGTTGGAAGTGTTGATGCCTTTTTGTCTTTGTAGGACCTAGGCGTGAACAGCTTAGAGCAACTCTGCATCAACTTTGCCAATGAGCATCTCCAGTGTTTTTTCAGTCAGACGGTTGTTGCCCAGGAAGAGGTAAGTGGAACTCAAGCCAGCAGGTGAAAGGCAGCACAGATGGAATGATCTGAGGCAGCCTCAGCTGGGGAGTACCCTTTAGTGAGGAAGCATGAAGCTGACTAGACCTGACCATCTTAAGCAGTACCTGTGGAATCCTAGTTCAAAGAGCTGGCTGTTTAGTATCTTTACTAATTCTGTAGTAAATTAAGGGAAGATTTATTCAGATTTTATAAGTGAGTTGGTCAGGATCAAGGACCCCAGACCACTGGTACTTTCAAAGTCTGTTTAGTGGATTCATTGTAGCATTTTATGTACCACTCATCCTGGAGATGAACATGTACTTGTCAGACTTGTTGCCTTTTACAGTTCATTTCATCACTCTGCTTAGCACCCTTCTCTCTTAAACTAGGAAAATCACTAGTGGCTTTAGAAGTTTCATAAGACAAAACCAGATAATTCTAGGAAGTTCCTAACAGCCATGAAACACTAACTTCCTGATGAATAATCTAAACCCCTCTGTTAACTCCCTCCATTTGTTCTTGTTTGCGTGGCTGGATTTGACTGGTTGGTCTTTAACATGCAGGAAGAATACAGCCAAGAGCAGTTAGCTTGGATTCCTATTTCCAAGATGTACAGTGAGTCATGCCTAGATTTCCTTGCTGCAAAACCCCATGGCATCTTGTGTATCCTGGATGACCAGACTTCACTGACTCAGGTGAGAAGCTTTTATTCTCTTATATGAACCCTTTCACAGGGTGGTTATGGTAAGGCAGTCATACAGATTGAACAGGGACTGTTTGCATGAGTATGAGATGTTTTACCTTCAGTTTAGCAGCGGCTTTTCAGCCTACTGAATATGTTGCAGCAGCAGGAAACGTGTTTGTCATCTTTACAGGGCACAGATCACACTTTCCTCCAGAAGTGTCATTACCATCATGGAAACAGCCCTTGGTACACCAAGCCCAAGTTGCCTTTACCTGTTTTCACTGTGAAGCACTATGCTGGCCCTGTCACCTATCAGGTGAGCTGGCAGGGGGCTCTGAACAGTTGGAGCAACAGGGCAGCATGGAAGCATGCTGTGGATGTCCTGATGGACCAGGTCTGAGTGCTGTGAACAAAGCCCTCTCTTTGTAACTGCGCATCCCTCTAGAGCATCAGTTTATAAGAAACAAGGAGATTCTTATTAGGAGAGGCAATTAAGCTGCTTCTGTGCAGAAGCAAAATAGGTAATGGCCTCAGCTACACAACAGCCTGCGCTGCTTTTGTCTCAGAGCCCTGGAAATCTGGGAAAGCTGTTGCTGCTGAAAAAAAGTGAAGGGTTAAAGTCTGCTGGGCAATGTGAAGGGGAAAAGGAGCAATTCCTCCTAAAAACAGAAGTCATTGTCCCCTCCACTCCTGGTGGCAGCAGGAACAGCAAGCTTCATTCTCTAGGGCTGTCCCCTTGTTCTACCTTTCCAGCTGTCTGCCCCAAGTCAAGCTGTGTGTGAGAGGGGTGTTTGCCTGTCTGGTTGGTGGTATGAATGGTACATTAAATCAGACTTTGCCTCTGCAGGTCCACAAGTTTCTTAATAAAAACCGTGACCAGCTACGTCCAGAGGTGCTGGATATCTTCTCTCAGAGCCGCCTCAAGGTACTGTAGTGGTTCAGGGTGAAGATCTCTGTTGCAGATGCCTAACGAGCCACTCACTGCTTTCATGTGAGAAGCAGAAAGATCCTCGTCAGGTGTCAGGAGACCCTGGAGGAGTTTTGTTCTACTGAAGGAAACTTGGGAATTGAGCAAGTTGTCTTTGCCCACAATTGATGCATTTTATATATAAAATACACAGACTGCCTGAGGGTGCAGCTGGGTTCCTGGCACTGCTAGGGGCAAGGGAGAATGGTCCCCCAGTTTCAGGTAGAAGACATTTTTCTTTCCATGTAATTCAGGGAGCTTTGATCATTTCTTTGTTTTTTGCAGGTGGTCTCTCACATTTTCCAGAAGGCTAAAGCTGCCTATAGTCAGCAAAGGTTGCTGGGGGCCGGAGGCAAAGGGCTCAAGCCTCAGGCCTCCACACTTGTGTCCAAATTCCAGCAGTCTTTGCAGGACCTCACATCCAAGCTGAAAAGGTGAGAGATACTGCTATGGTGCCCTCCCTGCACTGGGCTGGTTGCTGCACCCAGAAGGGTGTGAAGTCTTCCCAGGTCAGCATAGAGTGGAGGATGATCGAAGGTTCTTCCTTCCATTTTGCAGGAGCCATGCCTTCTTCATTCGGTGCATCACCCCTAATCCCAAAAAGGTAGGGCAGCACCCTGAGCTCCTTATGGAGTACCTCAGTTCTTTGAAGTCCAGTCCTCTCCAGCAGCTCTGTTTTCACAGTTGGGGTTTGGACTTCTTTGCTTCATTTGATAGCTTGAAACTTTTCTTCTCCTTTCTCTGACTCTCACCCTTCCCTGTGGCCAGGTGAGCTGACCACATGCTGGAGGATAAGATGCCAGTGCCAGTTGGACATCAAAGAATGTGTTGGCTTTTGTGTTCCACCACCTGTAGAGCACGGGAAGATCTAACCCAAGGACAGGGCAATAGAAGGACACCCTTTCTAAACTCTCCGCCTTCTGTCTCCTTTCTTTTTTCTTTCTTTATTTCTTGTTTTACATTTTTCTTCTGCCTTATATTCACAGCTGTCAAATATCTTTGATGTGGAGTATGTCACTTGTCAGCTGCGACATTCTGGGATACTGGAGGCTATCCACATTACAAAGGAGGGATACCCAGTCCGTCTGCCGTTCCACAACTTCCTAGCTAGGTACAGTGGGGTACTGGCTTGGGATTCTCCAGCATGCAAAGCCTGGACGAACTTGTCAGCACGCTGTGATTTGTTCTCCTCTGAGGACTCCAGTTACAGCCGTGGCTTCTGTCACATCAACCTCTTGTCTTTCAGGTATGGCCTTCTGGCTGGGCGAAGGCACAACTGCTTGGAGGAGAGAGAAGGCTGCATGGCAGTGCTGTCTCATGTGGTGGGGAACCCCTCAGATCTCTATCAGATTGGACTAACAAAGGTGATGCCTATAGACAACCCCATCTTAATCACACAGGCCCAGCCATCTATATTCACTGGCTGTCAATGGACTGAGCTGCTGCTTGACTCTCTGCCCAAAGAGAGAGAACATTACATGCCTTCACCTCCCTTTTGCTTTGCCTCTTGTCTCAAGTATGAAGGAGGGACTTTTAGCATTTCAGATAAAGAAACAGGAGATTCTGGCTCCAGGCTACTGTAGTAGCATGGCCCACTCCTTTGTCTACCCAGCATTCCTTGGTGGAGAGATGGGCTTCTGCCTTTCCTGCCTACTAACCTTCATCACTCCCTGATTCCCTGTCCTCCACAAATGCACCTGCAACTCCTGCCCTCCCCAGTTAAGGGAGTGCAGTTCCCTTAGCATGGAACACAGTTTCCTTAGCACAGAGCCTCAAAGGCTACAATGAGATAAACCAGCAGCTTTTATTATTGATCAGCTCTCAGAGAAGCTGGCTGCATTCCTTATGGGTCAGCAGCTGTTCCTTTTGCCTAGGTCTTTCTGAAGGAGAAGGCCAGGCAGCTTTTGGAGAGACGATGGAACCAGAGGCAGAGTTGGGCCATCGTTACTTTGCAAAGGAACTTCCGATGCCTCCTTCGCCGCCAACGCCTCCGAGTCCTCCAGGAGAAAGTCACAATCATTCAGGCTCACTTCCGAGGTTACCAGGCAAGGTACAGCCCTTTGCCCTTGCGTAGGACAACAAGGTGGGGATGTGCCTGGCTAGGCCCTTCCTTTCGTTGGCTCTTGACCTGCTCTGCAGGCAGGGGTATCCTGCTGCTGGGATGGTGGAGGAAGGACTTCCCAGCCTGGTTCCCAACACTGAACAGAGGTTCCAGGGCAAATACAGCTGCTGTCGAAACTGTTACAGAAACTTGCCTGTGCTAAGGCAGATATTGTCATAGCTAGAG